AGATAACCGTGTTGGAGGTGGGGAGGGCTGGGGCAGGAGCAGGAGGAGGGGTTCCTCTGGGAAGTGTTCATGGAAGAGCAGATTTTTTCCCCTCCAAGGAAGAATTCCTCCTGGCTGATCTGGGTTTGGGAGACGTGGCAGTGGGTTGGCTATTGTAAATAGAGCTGAGATAAACATAAGAGTGCAAGTATCCCCTTGACATGATAATTTCCATTCCTTTGGGCATATACCCAGAAATGGGTTTGCTTGATCTTATGGCAGTTCTATCTGTAATTGGAAGGCTGGAGCCACACAGGTGGCTGGAAAGCAGGAGCTAGGCAGGTGGCAGGAAGGCTGGAGCCCTGAAGGTATCCAGTGCTGTTTGGGAAACATGGGTCATCTGGTGGGGTGCACTGAACAGAATGAACTCCAAGCAGGGAAAAGGGCCATGGCTCTGGGACTAGACAATGGCACAGACAACCGTGTTGGGGATGGGGAGGGCTGGGGCAGGAGCAGGAGGAGGGGTTCCTCTGGGAAGTGTTCATGGAAGAGCAGATTCTTTCCCCTCCAAGGAAGAATTCCTCCTGGCTGATCCGGGTTTGGGAGACGTGGCAGTGGATGAAGCCTCTACACCACCCTGCTTGGTTTTCATGCAGCACAGGGTGTTCACCAGGCACCCGCTGCCCTCCCACCCCCCATGCTCTCCCCTGTTCTTAGCGGGCCTTCCCTTGCTCTGGTCCCTTTCTGTGGGAGGATCGTGCACTGGGCACCTCTTCTCTGCCATCTTCCATCTATATTTTTTGGAAGCCTTCTTTTTTTCTTTCTGCACTTTTTTATTTGCCAATTGTACCTTCTTAGACATTGGTGTTATATTTCTTTAGAAGGCAATAATGAGAATTAAAAACAAACAAAAAAAATTGAACCAGAGAAAAGGCAAAACAGTTTGTAAAAACTAATTGCTCTAAATTTAGAATTAAAAAATAGTCTGAAAAATGTTATCTTCAAAACTCTATGTTTTAAATGTGAGAAAGAAGTTGACATTCTAGATAAGAGTTCCCCTAAACATCATCTTGATATACTTGTGGACACAGTAGATGAAAAATTGTTAACAAAATTAGTGATGATCACGACACTCACTCCACAATTCTAACAACTTTCTAACCTCTGTGTCTATTTCTCTGTCTTCTCTGATTGCTCTGTTCTTCCTCCAAAACCTACAATATAAACATCTCCATGATCATGAGCCTTAGCTTCTATCTTGGTGATTCTTCCCTTTGTGATAGACTCTCATGGCTTCCTTTACCATTTTTGTAAAAATGGATGTAAAATCTTAATAAGTTTGCCTCTCCTGAAAGTTCCAGATCCTCATTTTCAATTGTCTGCATGTCATACCTATCTGTTTGTCCACCTGCACCTTAAATTCATCACCTCCAAAACCAATTCCACCATTCCATCTATTTGGATCCCAATCTGATTTTTTTTTTCTTTTTTTTGTTTTCCTTTTTGTCTTTTTTCATGACCGGCAGCGGATCGCAACCCTCAGTGTCGCGCCTGTACCAGACCGGGACCGGCAACGGGATCGCAACCCTCGGTGTTGCGCCTGCACCTCGCTCAGCCAGTGAGCGGCCAGTCTGTATGTGGGATCCGAACCCTCGGCGGGAGCGCCACCGTGCTCCCAAGTGGCGCAATGTAGCAGTGCGCCACTGGGCCGGCCCCCTGATTTTTTTTTCTTTGCATGAACCTTAGCTTTACTGCCATATTTCCAGTCATTCAGACTCAGAATATCTTAAAATGGTATCATTTCCCTCTCCTCACCTATCTCAACCAATCAGTTGATGATTTCTTTAACTTTTACCTTCATAATTAATCTGTCATCAAGTATGGCAATTTCTTTCAGTCAGCCAAAACTTCACTATTAGTTTTCCTTTCATACTGCAGCTTGTCTAAACTGAGCACACGGCCTACACTGTGATCTCTTTGACCTGTGCTGCACAGAAGACTTGAACTAACAGTCCTAAAACTGAATTTTGATTACAGAATTCTGATATTCATCCCCTATCAACCTCCCATTATATGTTGCTATCCAATGCCCTCATATTCTAACCAAACTTAAATACTGAGAAAGGGGAACTCTTTTATGCTGTTGGTGGGACTGTAAGTTAGTCAGTCACTATGGAAAACAGTATGGAGGTTCCTCAAATAACTATAACTACAACAGATGGATCTACCGTACGATCCAGCAATTCCACTTCTGGGCATATGCCCAAAGGAATGGAAACGATCATGTCAGTGATGGGATTTCTGCACTCCCATGTTCATCACAGCTCTATTTACAATAGCCAAGATATGGAACTAACCTAAATGTCCATTGACAGATCATAACTATTAAGGAAAATGTGGTATGTATACACAATGGAATACTACTCTGCCATAAAAAAAAAAAAGAAATTTTGCCATTTGCAGCAACATAAATGAACTTAAAGAAAATTATGTTTAGTTAAATAAGCCAGGCACAGAGGGAAAAATACCGCATGTCCCCACTCATAAGTGGGAGCTAGGAGAGAAAGAAGGAAGGAAAGAAAGACCACAGTNCTGGCTGAGCGAGGCGCGGGAGCAACGCTGAGGGCTGCGATCCCGTTGCTGGTCCCGGTCCAGTACGGGGGTGACACTGAGGGTTGCGATCTGTTGCCGGACACGGAAAAAAAAAAAAAAAAAGAAAATTATGTTTAGTTAAATAAGCCAGGCACAGAGGGAAAAATACCACATGTCCCCACTCATAAGTGGGAGCTAGGAGAGAAAGAAGGAAGGAAAGAAAGACCACAGTGGTGCCTTGGACTTGCAGAGGGAGAGGGCACACCTTCGGGTGCTGGGGGTGGGGGGAAGGGGATATAAGGAGAAGGTAGGTGGAGGATACAGGGAATAATTGTGATTTGTGGTTGTGGGTATGCTGATAGTATTGATCTGACCATCACATCCTGGGCACAGGTGCTAATAATGGTCAGCTCTGTTTCCCATTAGTATGTACACTCAATATAAATAAATAAATAAATCCATATAAAGATATTGATTATTTCTCCAATTTTATATGCACATTTCTTCCCTTACGCTTTTGCTAATTCTATCAATCCTTATTGTCCTGTCTTTTTACCTTGCCTTGTTGAAATCACCATGACTCAAATTCTCTGAAGTCTGTCAAGCATTTCCTTTTCGTCCCACGAGATGACCTCTCTCCATGAACTCCCATAGTACTTTCTTTACACCTCATATTCTGCTTTATTTTTATTATCTGTAAAATTTCACCCTGCTTATTCCCCTGTCTAGATTGTAGACTCATTGAGAAAAGAGCTATGCAAAGTATGAAGCTCAATAAATAACTGTAAACTATGTTTGCCAAAGAAAAATTCACCAAAA